AACATAACAATGACACACAGACAAATATGGATAGATAGATAGATAGATAGATAGATAGATAGATAGATAGATAGATAGATAGAAGACGAATATACACGTCCATATTGGAATCTCTTTCCCAGTCAATGATAAAAACTATTGATAAATAAAGTGATTTTTGGAACTCTGCCTGCTCTTACATGATGCATATTTGCCCGTGCAAAGTTTTTTGGCTACCTCTTGTTCCCTTTCAGATTTATTTGGCCGAATGATAACTTCATTGGCTGCCGATATATATATATATAAATATAAAAACCCAGAAGGCCATGCATTATAAGCGGAATGAGTGCAGCCAGCCAGTGTGAGGTTACAGCAGTCACTCAGCACTAAACAAGCAGCGCTGCCTTGCTCCAGCACCAGAAGGAGGAGGGAGGAGGGAGGAGGGAGGGAGGAAGGCGGCGGCTGACGAGGTGGAGGGAAGGCCGGTCTCTCCATATATGGTCATAACCCCGCCCAGCGCACGTCAGCGGCTGACAGCGCAGCTCCCCGGGGTTTAGAGTTTTGGCTCCCGGGAAAGGTTCCATTCCTAGGGGATAGAGGGCTGAGTTTTGTTCGCTTCCATCCATTCTGCAAAGACGCTAAAGGCCCCCTCATCGAGCTCTCCTGTGTCCAGGAACACCTCCGTGGCAATCATTTTTTTCCTCGTTTATTTGTCTTTTGGAGCAGGAGATCTTTGCCAGAAGTGCTCGATTCAGCAGTGTCCTGAAGCCTTTTTGATGCTGTTTCGCTGGGATGACACCACATTGAGAGGCTCTACAAACACCAACAAAAAATATTTATTCTTCCTCTCTCTCTGCGAGCACCTTTCCTGCTAGTGGCACTTTCTTTCTTTTTTTTTTTTTCTTTCTTTTTTTTTTATATCCATCACAACAACGACTAAAGCAAGGCAGTCCAAGAATCTGCAAGAAGTGTTCTGCAAATTGTTTGTACCGTGCCAATCCAGGACAGCTTTGGAGAAGCAAGACTTGAACTAGGTCCTCTCCTACTGATCCTGGGGAGTTATCACCACCAAGGAGAGGAGAGACTGAGACAGAGAGGGGGAACCCTCTGACTAATTTGTTTTTTTTTTTTTTTTTGTGGTGTTGCATTGTTTCTTTCTTTTTTTATTATTTGAACCCCACTTGGCAGGAGCTGATTGTGCCCAAAATTGTTTTAATGTTTGGGATTCAGGAAAATATACCAAGAGGTGGGACCACCATGAAAGAAGAACCGCTGGGAGGTGGGATGAATCCAGTCCGGTCATGGATGCATACTGCAGGGGTAGTGGATTCTAATACAGCCGCCCAAAGGTACGTGTGCCAAATGGTCTTGGGTTTATTCCTGGTCCTTGATTGTAAATCCCCCCCTTCAATGATCTCTATATCAATTACAATCTCCCCGTAGCTGACTTTTGTGTGTATGTGTGTCTCTGGTTACATGGTGCTTGGTGGCACAAGGCACATCCAGATGCTCTGTGGCCCCCATGCCTTGTTGCTTGGCATCCCCCTAGTGCCAGGCTGCCCGTCCTCTTACCCAGCGCCTCTCTGCTTTCCTCCCGCAGTGGTGTGGGTCTGGCTCGGGCGCACTTCGAGAAGCAGCCGCCCTCCAACCTGAGGAAATCCAATTTTTTCCACTTCGTCCTCGCTCTCTATGACAGGCAGGGCCAGCCGGTGGAGATTGAGAGGACGGCATTCGTGGACTTTGTGGAGAAGGACAAAGTAAGTTTGCAAAAAAAAATAAATATTTCTATATACTATAGAACATTGTCAAGTCACAGTCCTCATCACCTCTGCCATCCATGCACATGGGGCACAAAAATAAGACATAGACAATATTCATATTTTAACACACATTGGACACATTCTAAAGCTTAGTCCTGAATTTAACCTTTTTTTTTTTTTTTTTTTACTAAACTGAACACATAAAAAAGTAAATAAATAACACTTTTATACATAGTTATAAACTCTGCCATGCAAAAAAAATCATAGATATGCACTATTAATATTATAATGTACATTGGCCATTATTTCTCATTTAACACTTTTTGGAGAACTGAGCAAACAATAGAATACATAGAATAAAAAGTAACACTTTTATATATAGTTATCAACTCTGCCATGCACAAAAAAAATATAGAAATGCAATATTAATATTATACTGTACCATATTTTCATACACATTGGCCATTACTTCTAAAGCAGTTACCAACTCTGTCATGCCCAAAAAATATATAGATGCACTGTTAATATTTTCATACACATTGGCCATCACTTCTAGAGCAGTTATCAACTCTGCCATGTACAAAATAAAAAATATAGATATGCACTATTAATATTTTCATACACATTAGCCATCACTTCTAAAGCATAGCCCTGGATTTAACATTTTTTTCACCTAAACTGAAAAACTAAAAAAAAGATTAAAAAATAACACTTTTATAAATAATTATAAACTCTGCAATGCACCAAAAATTACAGATATGCTCTATTAATATCATAATGTACATTGGCCATCGTTTCTGATTTAACACGTTTTGGAGAACTGAGCAAACACTAGAGTAAAAAAAAACAAAACACTTTAATACATAATTGGTTATCAACTCTGCAAACAAATTATAGACATACAATATTAATATTTAAATATTATTTAATATTTGCATAAAACACTTTTATGCAACAAAAACTCTACAATGTTTGTGCATGGAGCAAAACAATTAAAAAATTATAGATAGAAAATCGTAATCT